TTCTATGTGGTTTTATTTTTTTTAAAAAAGTACTTTAAACTGTATAAATAATGTAAAATTAAATTGTTTTAAACTGCCAATCACACGAATGTCTGCTGCCTATGACCGTTGACCAGTTAACCGATCAAAAATCATGAATGGTTAAAAAGGAAAGACCTTTTATGGCGTTTTTAGAAAACAAATATTGATTGATGCCTCTTACCCAGTCAAAAATCAATAAAACATAAATTTTGATTGGTCAATTCCTAATTTTAGGACATGTAAATCCTACAGCAGAAATGCTAAACATCAATAAAACTGATATGTTAATTTAATTGATCCAAAATTATTAAAAATGCATAATATTTTTTTTATTATATACATTATATACTGATATAGTTATTCTATTTTTAGCATGATAAGAATATAGTAGTGAATAATCGCAGGTTGATGATCACAGATTTTGGTTTATCAGAATCATTAGAAACTAGCTCAAACTCCAGTACTGGTGGAATGTGTGCTTTTTCCGACCCTCAATACCTCAAAAACCCATATGAATTTAAACGTGAAAAGCCTTCTGATATCTACAGCCTCGGTGTTCTTTTTTGGGAATTATCAAGCGGCGTTCCTCCCTTTAAAAATATATCGAATCGAAATGAAATATCAATATATGTTATTTCTGGCAAGAGAGAAACTCCAATTAATGGAACTCCAATTGATTTTATGAACCTTTATCACGATGCTTGGAATCGTGATCCAAATTCTCGTCCTAAAATAGATCAAATTTGCCATAAATTAAATTCTATTCAAATAGATCCAGTTTATCATAGTGACCATATTTTAAAACCATCTAAGCTAAGCAATAGTGATGTTTATAAGGATATGGATTCGACGATAGGTTGGTTATTTTTTGGTGGAATTTTTAAAACAATGATTTTATATTTATAGTAGTTTATAACTTATTTCAGAACAACAATTAAGTCAAGCTATTAATGAAAATTATTCAAATAAGAATTCTAATGGCTGTCAACATGAAAAGGAGTCATTGGAAAAACTTGAATTAAAATCAAAGTCTAATTCTGAATATGAAACTAATCAAGATTTCAAAGAAAATATTATTGGTTCCGATTTTAAAAACAGTGATACTGGTTTGAATTTTCTTGATAATTTTTACTGCACGTATTCTTAAACACATTAATATAGCTTTTAATTTCTATAAATTAGATGGTGAAATTCATGGATCAACTGGAAACAGAATCTTAAAATCGCACATAGACAGCGAAATCATGTAATATTTATTAATATGAATTTATCCCACATACCAAAATGTACATATTGTACGTACGTATGGTACCTACTAAAATTCCAATTTAATTTTTTTGTTCTAATAAGTAGTTGCGAGGATTGGTTGCAATCAACTGTTAAAAAGTATAATTTAAAAGAGATACCTTATAAAGAACTTAGTCATAAGAAAAGGATAAATGAAGGAAGACGCGAGATAATTTTTAGTGTAAAATGTGTGTCATTAGGGGATGTGGTCATTAAAGAAATTGATAATAAGGATAGGGATACTGTAAATATAGAAAATTATTATTAGTATCTATTAATTTTATTGGTAATTAATCGTTTAAAATATTATTTCAATGCTCCAGCTAGAACGGTATAGTAAGGCTAAACATCATCGAATAATTCAATTTCATGGGGTTACTATAAGTAAGACTGTTTCACATTTTAAGTTTGTAAAAGTCTTCTAGCCAGTTAAAATTTTTGCATTAAACCTTATAAAGATAAAGACGAGGCAACACGGTATCTCATAATGGAATATGCAAATAACGGAAATTTACGGAAATATTTAAGAGACTCAAATCCAGGATGGCCGGAAAAAATTAGACTTACTATTCAAATAGCCGAAGGAATGAGTTATCTTCATAGAATAAATATCATACATTGCGACTTGGTAATATGGCTTTTTTTACTATCAAAAGAAAACCTGTAATTACAAGTGTAAAATTTCACTGTATCTGAATTCAGAAAATGTTAATCACACTTTTTAAGAAGTCCGGTACGGTAAATCTTTAGATTTGTATTTATAGGATTCTCTTTGCAGCTTCTACTTATAATCAAAATTTCAATACTGTCGAAATAAGTGCAGAAATATTTTACGTCACAGTTATGATTTTGTTACACTTTATCCCTTAAGCAGTTCTGCTAGCAAAACTCAGAAATTGTCAAGAGCGATCTGTGATTTATCAAATGGGGGCCCCATAGCAAAAGGTGGTGATGGGCCAAAAAAAAAATTTTTTTGTAAAAACTTTATTTTTGCAAAAATTAGATTATTTAGAACACTATATTAAAAAATTATAGAAAAAAATTTTGTAGCCCATCACCACCTTTTGCTGTGGGGTCCCCCAACTTGTAGTCGTCCATATTGTAGTCCATATTTCAAATTTTGCAGTTATTGTGGGACGGTTCAAAGGATATTAAAGAGATCATATTTAGCCCATATTCAAGCTGTATAATAATAATGGGACAGTTCAACAAAAATTGTTGACATTTCATTATCGTAATTTATAATATTTCTGCATTTATAGCAATATAAGCTTAAGGCGTATGTTGCTATCACAGACAGGATCACTTATAACCATTGGATTTGATTTTTATCGGTTTGTTCATAGTAAATAGCACAATTTTATCGGTCAAATAAGACATGTGTAAATTTTGGAATTATGGGCGTTCTCAATCAAGAAAGTTAGCCATGGCGGAAAATATTCGCGCCCTATGATGCAAAATGGCTCCACCGACTTATAAATCCTGGGACAACTAAAAAAAATTAGTGATGAATGGATCAATAAATTTCTGACGTACAAAGATCGATTTCAGTAACCACTTGGTAACTTATCGATTCGTCCATCAGAAATTATCAGTTGTCCCAGAATTTGTGAAAACAGCTGTGATTATAATAAAAGCAGATCCAATGAGCCCGATTTGCATCTCCACGTTACTGGCAGATAATCAAAATTATTACGAATATTTAAAGAATTATTAATCTTTTAAGCGTAATGCGTAATTTGAATTATCTGTTCGAAATTGACCGGTAATCACGAGAATGTGACATTTTTCTGCCATGACTAACTTAGACACCTCTCTCAATCGTCTAATTGGTCTGTTTGATTGAACAAACAATCAGATTATTTGTTGGTCCGTTGTTTAAGAACACCCTATAAGCAGAGTTGGTACCCTTATAAGTTCAGTAATTTAATGGAATTGGACTTATGCGTCCCAATTGGAATTTATAGATCCAATTTTCGATTTAATTTATAAATCCAATGGAACAGAGTTGGTCCACTTTCCAACATTGCATATAAGTTTCCTTGTCAAAATCAACTAAATTTATCTCTTTATTCATTTACAATGAATATATTTAATAATTGATTCTGTATTAGCGCACTGAAAACATTCTTATCCATGAAGGTGATATTAAGATTTCGGACTTTGGATTTTCAAGAAAACATGAA